AACATCGAGCTATCACCAATGAAAGCATACACATTATTAGGTATGGTTATCTGACTTATCTATTTTTTGTAAATGAAAAGTATGTACCTATTTGTTTTAATTTAATTTTATTATTACTAGCGTTACAATAACATTGGCACATTTTTTAATTATGTTGGGGATATTTTCGTTATAATGTTCGGGTATACCATTCAATTCTAAGTTTTCTTGTCGAAGATGTTGCTCTAAATTATTGATACGATTGGATAAATCAGTAACGGTTGTTTGAAGTACGGTGTTTTCATTCCGTAGACTTTTATTATCATTAGACAACTCTTCGATTTTTCGACTTCATTTCATCATGCATTTCACTGAGAAAACCAACTGATTTGCATAAATCATGAACCTCCTGTGATAGTGTAGATAGTTCACTTTTTATAACCTTCGATAGCTTTGTTGGAATTTCTATTTTAATTGCTTCCAAGACTTGGTATCGAATAGCTGCAATGGCGTTGTCATCTAAGCTTGTGCTAGTAGAAATGGTAGGTGAATTAAATGATTTTGGTTTACGCGTTATATTTGGAGTCATGAGATTCAGATAAGACATCTTTCTGTCCTTCATCGAAGGCGAATATCGTTCTAATTGGAGTATTTGTATTGCAAATTTAGGTTGCCTATTTTTACACGCTTGACACTTCCAAATATTTTTAGTATTCTTTGAGTTAATCTTCTTTTCGGAGACGTTAGCACACACTGCATCATAAGTTTGGTTACACAGACAACATTTGATATATTTATTATTATCAATTTTTTTCAAGCAACCTGCACATATTCGCGGTTCACAAGACATAGTTATATTTTATTAGATTAATTTTATAATTTATATTAAAAAAATTTAACTGACACCTTAACGTCAATTTCGAATATAAATATAAACACCCATGACTGGCGTGCAAACATTCGTGCTCATCACACAAATGAATGCCCCAAGCGGGATTCTAACCCGCGACACCGCCGCACCCGCCACAGCAAGTAGTGACACTACAAACTGAGTCAAACGTGACGTCGAGGACTTTGGACAGAGTAAGTTAGGTAGGATATAGAAAATTAAAATTCTCAGGCTTAGAACTATCATCAAAAATGAACTCTCATAAATAAAACGCAGCCGTGGGAAATAGCTATATTTTTATCTATTGTAGAAAGCTCAAATGGCGCTTATTCTTAAATCAATCACCTAACAGTACGAATGAATAATATATCATTACAAATTAGCTAGTAAAAACGAAGCGATAGTTTTCTTGTGAGAGCTATAATCAATCAAGAAGTCACTGTGTTGGAAAGACAGCCACAAATAATTTACTTTTTATTCTTAGCTAGCAAAATCTCACGACTTATTCTGTATAGAGTTATATGTTTTAAATTTTATTGTGTCGAATTTCATTGATATCGGTTTAGTAAGGTGAACAATTAAAACAAAATAATGAATTAATGTTATGATAGACAAAAAAAACTTAAAGCAACTATAAACACACCTATTCATCATCATCTCCCTGCCCATTTCCCAATTACTTGGGGTCGGGGCATACCTTCCGTACTGCTGTTAGGATTTGGCAAAAGTTTTTCGACCGGCCGCCTGGCTGACGTCAACCCTCCTTGGGAATGCTATTGTTTATCGCGGAAAGGACCCAAAGTGCTATAACCAGCACATCTAATTTAGATTTAGGTTTTAAAATTATCTGATGCCAGTAATTTTTTCACCACTTTGTTGCAACAATTCCTTAAGGTTAGGCGTTCATATTGCCTTAATATTTTCTTTAAAACCATTTTTATAGTATTATTCTAAGTTTTAATGTAATTTCTGATATATTTTTAAATAAATTATGAGCACAAAAAAATTTTGTTTAGACGTTGTCAACATATAAAACAATAATATAAACACGCCTATTATAGATCATTATTTGACCCTTATCACCGAGTGTTTGTATCAGGGTTTGAAACGATAATTATCATTGGTTTTTATGAGAAAGAACGACACTACGCAGAGCTTGGTCATTAAAAGTACAGATATGCTGAAATCTGTTAAGTAAATTTTTGTTGTCTAGTATATATTGCTTGTTATTATTGTATTATTTCTAAAAATTCAATAATCTTAAATTTTATTACCAGAATGTACGCGGATTAAGAACTAAAACTGTTGATTTATTCTTTAATATATCTCTGGAAAACTACGATATTATTGTACTTACAGAAACTTGGCTTAGTGGTGATATTTATAATTCTGAACTGTTCGATGATAGATATATAGTTTTCAGACGGGATCGCGAAACTAGTCGCTATAAAACACGTACAAGGGGAGGCGGGGTACTTATTGCCATATTAAAACATTTAAAACCAATAAGACTGCCACATTACGAAAGTACCTGCGAGGATCTCTGGGTAAGTATTGATGTCAACAACTCCGAAGGAACAACTGAGCAACTAAACATTGGTGCAGTTTATCTGCCACTACCGCTTAATACTGATCTATTAGAGTCGTTTATTAAATTTGCTCAAAAAGCTGCTGAATCGAACAAACACACAATCATAATTGGAGACTTTAACTTGAACAACATAAAATGGTCGACTGACACCAATACAGAAACCATATCAAACCATTCTGAAGTAAGTGCGACTTTACTAGAATTTATTTTTATAAATGACTTTATCCAACATAATGATATACTAAATAGTAAAAGTAAAGTGCTCGATCTAATTGTTAGTAATATTCCTGTTCAGAATCCAATACGGTGTACTACACCGTTAATCATAGAAGATCCTTTACATCCTGCTCTATAATTTTGTTTACACTTAAAAGTACCTTACCACCTACAAACTAAAATCTCTACTAGACCTGACTTTTTCAGAGCTGACTACGAAAACATCGTAAAATTAATTAATTTAATTAATTGGGACCAGGAATTTAAAGACTGTTTATCAATTAACCACATGTTAGACCGTTTTTACAATTTAATAAGAGATATAATAAAAGAATGTGTTCCTTTGAAGAAGAATAACGGCAACAATAAATACCCTCCCTGGTACTCTCATTGTCTTATTCGACTCCTAAAAGACAAGTTTAAACTTCATAAAAAATTTAAAAAGTTTAACAATATCTTAGATATAGTTCTATTCGAAAAACTTCGCTACGATTGTCGTAAGAACTGTATGTTATAATTCATATATTGAAATGCTTGAATACTCGATCTTTAAAAACCCTAAACTGTTCTGGTCCTTAATGAAAATCAAAAGAAAGGGTAATTGCGCATATCCTTCCCAAGTGCAACTCGACGATACAGTAGCATCAACTGGTACCGATATTTGTAATTTGTTTGCAAAAAACTTTTCACAGGTTTATCATGACGCTAATCAGGTTACAAAATACTCGTCAAAAATCAAAGACGTTACACCTAATATTAGTTCCATTTGCAACTTATCTCTTAATACTGCAGAAGTATATTATAATGCATTAAGATCTCTAGATGAAAGAAAGGGCGCTGGTAGTGATGGAATTCCTCCGATTTTTATAAAAAGATGTGCAAAAGCCCTAGCTTCACCCGTAAATGCGATTTTCAATCGCTCTCTAAGGGACGGGATCTTTCCGGACTTGTGGAAAGAAGCTTTGATAGTTCCGATTTATAAAAACGGCAGTAAAAACCTTGTGTCTAATTACAGACCAATTTCTCTACTTCCAACACTGGGTAAAGTTCTCGAAAAAATGATAAACGAGCGATTATCTCGGGATCTAAAGCAACAAATTTCTTGTCATCAGCATGTAAGCCGGAAATTGAAAAAAAGTATTTTTAATGCTTTGCGTACCCCCATTTCTCGGGGGTAGCTTGGCATCAGGGGCATTTTATGAATTTCTATTCCTTATATAGCTGCTTACGTGTTAAAATCATAAAACTTCAGGTTTTACTTTTTTTGTTCCCAAACCGGATTCCGATTGGACTAGTATGAAATAGATATAATATATACTTAGAGCTAAATATGTGCATGTCATTATTAAATACAAAATTACAAAGCAATCAATACAACGTTCTCGCATCTCATAATTTTATTTAAAGCTTCATCTGTTACGAAGTTGTCATTGAATGATTTACAATACTCCAATCAATAATGTTAACTCATTTTGATGACGATAATTTTCCCAATTGGAAGTGTTTTGAGCTGAAATTTATATTCAATTACTTTGGTATCAGAAACTGTCAAAACGATGAAGGCTTATTTTGAGGGACTAATGTGGAAAGTAAGTATAGGGCAGAACCCTTTCGAAAATTAACATTTGTCTATACATCAAATAGTGATAAGAGTTTTAAAAATAATTCAATCATCTATACTAATGTTATAAAGTGGTAAAGCTTGTGAGTTTATGAGTTTGTGACGTTGTAGGAAGTAATCTCTGGATCTACGCAACTGATTTAGATGAAATTTGGTAAGAAGATAGTTTTAGACATTGGAAAGGACATAGGATACTTTTTATCTCGGAAATCATCCCAAGGATTTGAAAATAGGAATGAAAGTTTGCATGGGGAATCAAGCTAGGGACGAACCCGAGCAATGCGAGGGTGAGTCGCTAATGTTTAAAATAATGAGGATAACAAATGAGCATCTAACAATTTTACTTTATCTTCACAATTCAAAAATAAATAATAAATTATTAGGCCATATCATACGGAACATCGAGCTATCACCAATGAAAGCATACACATTATTAGGTATGGTTATCTGACTTATCTATTTTTTGTAAATGAAAAGTATGTACCTATTTGTTTTAATTTAATTTTATTATTACTAGCGTTACAATAACATTGGCACATTTTTTAATTATGTTGGGGATATTTTCGTTATAATGTTCGGGTATACCATTCAATTCTAAGTTTTCTTGTCGAAGATGTTGCTCTAAATTATTGATACGATTGGATAAATCAGTAACGGTTGTTTGAAGTACGGTGTTTTCATTCCGTAGACTTTTATTATCATTAGACAACTCTTCGATTTTTCGACTTCATTTCATCATGCATTTCACTGAGAAAACCAACTGATTTGCATAAATCATGAACCTCCTGTGATAGTGTAGATAGTTCACTTTTTATAACCTTCGATAGCTTTGTTGGAATTTCTATTTTAATTGCTTCCAAGACTTGGTATCGAATAGCTGCAATGGCGTTGTCATCTAAGCTTGTGCTAGTAGAAATGGTAGGTGAATTAAATGATTTTGGTTTACGCGTTATATTTGGAGTCATGAGATTCAGATAAGACATCTTTCTGTCCTTCATCGAAGGCGAATATCGTTCTAATTGGAGTATTTGTATTGCAAATTTAGGTTGCCTATTTTTACACGCTTGACACTTCCAAATATTTTTAGTATTCTTTGAGTTAATCTTCTTTTCGGAGACGTTAGCACACACTGCATCATAAGTTTGGTTACACAGACAACATTTGATATATTTATTATTATCAATTTTTTTCAAGCAACCTGCACATATTCGCGGTTCACAAGACATAGTTATATTTTATTAGATTAATTTTATAATTTATATTAAAAAAATTTAACTGACACCTTAACGTCAATTTCGAATATAAATATAAACACCCATGACTGGCGTGCAAACATTCGTGCTCATCACACAAATGAATGCCCCAAGCGGGATTCTAACCCGCGACACCGCCGCACCCGCCACAGCAAGTAGTGACACTACAAACTGAGTCAAACGTGACGTCGAGGACTTTGGACAGAGTAAGTTAGGTAGGATATAGAAAATTAAAATTCTCAGGCTTAGAACTATCATCAAAAATGAACTCTCATAAATAAAACGCAGCCGTGGGAAATAGCTATATTTTTATCTATTGTAGAAAGCTCAAATGGCGCTTATTCTTAAATCAATCACCTAACAGTACGAATGAATAATATATCATTACAAATTAGCTAGTAAAAACGAAGCGATAGTTTTCTTGTGAGAGCTATAATCAATCAAGAAGTCACTGTGTTGGAAAGACAGCCACAAATAATTTACTTTTTATTCTTAGCTAGCAAAATCTCACGACTTATTCTGTATAGAGTTATATGTTTTAAATTTTATTGTGTCGAATTTCATTGATATCGGTTTAGTAAGGTGAACAATTAAAACAAAATAATGAATTAATGTTATGATAGACAAAAAAAACTTAAAGCAACTATAAACACACCTATTCATCATCATCTCCCTGCCCATTTCCCAATTACTTGGGGTCGGGGCATACCTTCCGTACTGCTGTTAGGATTTGGCAAAAGTTTTTCGACCGGCCGCCTGGCTGACGTCAACCCTCCTTGGGAATGCTATTGTTTATCGCGGAAAGGACCCAAAGTGCTATAACCAGCACATCTAATTTAGATTTAGGTTTTAAAATTATCTGATGCCAGTAATTTTTTCACCACTTTGTTGCAACAATTCCTTAAGGTTAGGCGTTCATATTGCCTTAATATTTTCTTTAAAACCATTTTTATAGTATTATTCTAAGTTTTAATGTAATTTCTGATATATTTTTAAATAAATTATGAGCACAAAAAAATTTTGTTTAGACGTTGTCAACATATAAAACAATAATATAAACACGCCTATTATAGATCATTATTTGACCCTTATCACCGAGTGTTTGTATCAGGGTTTGAAACGATAATTATCATTGGTTTTTATGAGAAAGAACGACACTACGCAGAGCTTGGTCATTAAAAGTACAGATATGCTGAAATCTGTTAAGTAAATTTTTGTTGTCTAGTATATATTGCTTGTTATTATTGTATTATTTCTAAAAATTCAATAATCTTAAATTTTATTACCAGAATGTACGCGGATTAAGAACTAAAACTGTTGATTTATTCTTTAATATATCTCTGGAAAACTACGATATTATTGTACTTACAGAAACTTGGCTTAGTGGTGATATTTATAATTCTGAACTGTTCGATGATAGATATATAGTTTTCAGACGGGATCGCGAAACTAGTCGCTATAAAACACGTACAAGGGGAGGCGGGGTACTTATTGCCATATTAAAACATTTAAAACCAATAAGACTGCCACATTACGAAAGTACCTGCGAGGATCTCTGGGTAAGTATTGATGTCAACAACTCCGAAGGAACAACTGAGCAACTAAACATTGGTGCAGTTTATCTGCCACTACCGCTTAATACTGATCTATTAGAGTCGTTTATTAAATTTGCTCAAAAAGCTGCTGAATCGAACAAACACACAATCATAATTGGAGACTTTAACTTGAACAACATAAAATGGTCGACTGACACCAATACAGAAACCATATCAAACCATTCTGAAGTAAGTGCGACTTTACTAGAATTTATTTTTATAAATGACTTTATCCAACATAATGATATACTAAATAGTAAAAGTAAAGTGCTCGATCTAATTGTTAGTAATATTCCTGTTCAGAATCCAATACGGTGTACTACACCGTTAATCATAGAAGATCCTTTACATCCTGCTCTATAATTTTGTTTACACTTAAAAGTACCTTACCACCTACAAACTAAAATCTCTACTAGACCTGACTTTTTCAGAGCTGACTACGAAAACATCGTAAAATTAATTAATTTAATTAATTGGGACCAGGAATTTAAAGACTGTTTATCAATTAACCACATGTTAGACCGTTTTTACAATTTAATAAGAGATATAATAAAAGAATGTGTTCCTTTGAAGAAGAATAACGGCAACAATAAATACCCTCCCTGGTACTCTCATTGTCTTATTCGACTCCTAAAAGACAAGTTTAAACTTCATAAAAAATTTAAAAAGTTTAACAATATCTTAGATATAGTTCTATTCGAAAAACTTCGCTACGATTGTCGTAAGAACTGTATGTTATAATTCATATATTGAAATGCTTGAATACTCGATCTTTAAAAACCCTAAACTGTTCTGGTCCTTAATGAAAATCAAAAGAAAGGGTAATTGCGCATATCCTTCCCAAGTGCAACTCGACGATACAGTAGCATCAACTGGTACCGATATTTGTAATTTGTTTGCAAAAAACTTTTCACAGGTTTATCATGACGCTAATCAGGTTACAAAATACTCGTCAAAAATCAAAGACGTTACACCTAATATTAGTTCCATTTGCAACTTATCTCTTAATACTGCAGAAGTATATTATAATGCATTAAGATCTCTAGATGAAAGAAAGGGCGCTGGTAGTGATGGAATTCCTCCGATTTTTATAAAAAGATGTGCAAAAGCCCTAGCTTCACCCGTAAATGCGATTTTCAATCGCTCTCTAAGGGACGGGATCTTTCCGGACTTGTGGAAAGAAGCTTTGATAGTTCCGATTTATAAAAACGGCAGTAAAAACCTTGTGTCTAATTACAGACCAATTTCTCTACTTCCAACACTGGGTAAAGTTCTCGAAAAAATGATAAACGAGCGATTATCTCGGGATCTAAAGCAACAAATTTCTTGTCATCAGCATGGCTTCCTACAATCAAGATCAACAACTAGTAATCTGCTAAGCTTTACTTCGACGCTGTCTGAACACATTGACAATAGAGTTTCAGTCGACGCAATCTATACAGACTTTAGTAAAGCATTTGACAAAGTAGATCACATAATTTTATTGGAAAAGCTCTCACAATTCGGTATTAGTGGTACTCTGTTGTCTTGGTTTCAATCATACCTACAAAATAGGTCCTTCAAAGTAGTTATTAGTGGTCACAACTCGTATACCTGCTCAGCGCCATCCGGCGTACCGCAAGGTTCTCACCTTGGTCCATTACTCTTCAATGTTTTTATTAATGACATAACAAAGTGCTTTCATCACTCAAAATTCTATTTATTCGCAGACGATCTAAAAATAATAAATCCTATTAAAAATAACGATGATGTGACTAAACTACAAGATGATGTTAACAGATTGACCAGCTGGTGCGTCGAAAATAAGATGTCACTCAACACGTCTAAATGCCATTACATTCAATTCACTCGCAATAAAATCGCTAACCCAAACAAATACTATATCAACTCACATCAGATTTCCCAGGTAGATACTGTTAAGGACCTTGGAATTACATTAGATGCTAGTTTGCGATACAATACCCATATCTTAAATATTGTATCCAAGGGTTTTAAGATGTTGGGATTCGTACTAAGAAATAGTAAAGAGTTTAAGATTGCGTCCACTAAAATCAAATTATTTAATACACTCGTCCGTCCTATATTGGAATACAATAGCATAATCTGGAACCCACATTATGACTTTTATACCAAAAGATTAGAAAGTGTACAAAAACGTTTCCTCTATCATCTTTCTTACAGTGATACTACAGCTAAAAATCTCCCTAACTATCACAATAGACTTAAATATTACAAGATGACTTCGCTCGTTTGTCGTAGAAAAATAACAGATATTATAACACTCTATAAAATAACCCATTCGAAAATTGACTGTAGTGAATTACTACAGCTTCTAAAATTTAACGTACCCTCTCGCTTGCCTCGGAAAAATACATATAGTTTGTTTTATACTCCATTGTGCAAAACGAATTTGAGATATCACGCCGCTATTCCAAGGATCTGTCGACAGTACAATACGCTTTCTAAACAACATGTTGAATTAGATATTTTTTCCACTAATATGTTTCAATTTAAAAGTAGTATTACTAAATTCTTATCGTAATTTTAGTAGAAATGTTTAAATGTGTTGTAATATGATTTGTTTTTTTTTCTTTTGTTTTTGTATCTCTGTATATAGTTTCAGATTTGTTTCTAGACGTTAATTTTTTCTTAGTTTAAACTTAGTTATAACGTAAAATAAATTAATGAGCAAGCTGTGGTCTCCTATAAGTGAACCACACGTATTGTGAGTCTTATTAGTTTTATGTTTTTATATAATGTTGTATATTGTGTGTATCTTTTGTTGGAGATCCTAATTAAAATAAAATAAAATAATTATCTTTGATAATTATCATGATAATTATCAAGATATATATGGTTTGATAATTATCTTTGATAAATATAATTGAAAATATTTAATTCGCAACTCTTCAAATTGTTGATCAGTAAACTGAACTCTCTCAATCAGCTCAAAAAACTCAATCAGTAAACTGAGTTAATACAGTTGAGGAGGATGAGGATGATATTCCACTCATTAAGGAGTCTGCGCACTATACTGTCTCATACCATGACCGTGCTATGAACGTATCAGGCACGGAAACAAGCGACACGGACTACTATGCCCACTAGAGCGTATCATTCGCGTATAAACCGTATGTATGTATAGTATGGGACTCGGTAAAATACGTTCATGGACAAAATAATTATTTATAGCTTAAAATTCTTCATGTAATCTGGTTATATACTTTGTTAAGAATGAATTGTAATCTAATATATTTAAACGAGTTGTAGTTGTAGTAACTCTGCTTGCTGTGCCAGCGTAATGTATCAACTATCTGGTATCCATAACACAAGCCTCGTAGCTTACCATGGAACTAGATGGTGCTGTGTGTTAATGTC